TGTGGTTAGTCATTATTTAAAATGGCTCAATGATTTATTGGCATTCCACCTGTCTATTGCTGTTGCCTCAGCTGGCACCAATGTCCCCCAAATGTCTGCATTAGCCAAGGCTCTTCTTTAGGTTCCTCTAGTGTGCTGTGCTCCCTACTACTAAATGGGTTTTGTGGAAACTTTCTGTTAATCACTTCCCCAAATGCTTCCTGTCTCTCCCCGCCCCCGCCCCTGCCCCAGCCCCCATGCTTCTGTCTATCCTGCAGATCTCAATTCAAAGACATCTTCCCTGACTTTCAAAATAAGTTCTATTCCATATCATATGCTCCCAGAACCTATTTATGACCTGTAATTACATTTTTGTAATTATTTAATTAATGTCTTTCTTCACTTCTATATTATAAAATCTATGAAGGCATAGACCATGTCTAGTTTATCATTGTATCCACAGAACTGCATGCCTGGTGCATAGTAAGCTTGTAATAAATATTTAAATAAATGAATTAATCAACTGGGCCTAGAGTTCAAGTCTTTAAAAAATTTATTGAATTTATTGGGGTGATATTAGTTAACAAAATTACGTAGGTTTCAAGTGTACAATTCTATAATACATCATCTGTATATTGTACTGTGTGTTCACCACCCAAAGTCAAATCTCCTTAGGTCACTATTATCTCCCTTTACATCTTCAACCTCCCCCACCCCCTTTCCTCTGGTAATCCCCATACTGCTGTCTATGTCTATAAGGTTCGGTTTGTTTGGGGTTTCTTTGCTTAACCCTTCACCTTTTGCACCAGCCCTCCGACCTCCCTCCTCTTGATAGCTGTCAGTCTGTTCTCTATATCTTTGAATCTGTTTCTATTTTGTTCGTTTATTTTGTTCATTAAATCCCACATATGAGTGAAATCATACGGTATTTGTCTTTCTCTGCTAGGCTTATTTCACTTAGCACATAATATAGAGTTCAAGTCTGAAGACTTTTTTTTCATTAACCAAAGATACAATGGTTTGAACTAGACAATGTTGACTTCACAGAGGTCTGCAACTCTCATGGTCACTCTAGAACTGTGACAACAAAGTTCACTGTTGAGGACACCGGTGTTAGTATGGTACAGTCGGAAACCTTGTAGAACACTTCAAAATCTTGGTTTGAATCATGTGAAGTTTAGCAAATTTTATGCTCCAAAGATAAGGTAGATCCCTTCATACCTTTTATTTAAAAAAAAAAAAAAAGAGAGAGATTTGTAATCATTTATACAAATACATAAAATCCTATCTAATAAAAGAGTAATATGCAAATGTGACCCAACACACAAGATAGCTGCCCCACGTGGTCAAAGATGGCTGTCCCATGTAGACACAAGATGGCCGCCACAAGATGGCTTGCAGGGGAGTGCAGTTTCAGTGATCAGGCCAGCAGGGGAGGGCAGTTAGGGGTGACTGGGATGGCAGAGGAGGGCAGTTGGGAGAGACCAGGCTTTCAGGGGAGGACAGTTGGGGGAGATCAGGACTACAGAGGAGGGAAGTTGGGGGGAACAAGGCCTGCAGGGGAGGGCAGTTGGGGATGACCAGGCCTGCAGGGCAGAACAGTTAGGGGTGACTGGGATGGCAGAGGAGGGCAGTTGGGAGAGACCAGGCTTTCAGGGGAGGACAGTTGGGGGAGATCAGGCCTACAGAGGAGGGAAGTTGGGGGGAACAAGGCCTGCAGGGGAGGGCAGTTGGGGATGACCAGGCCTGCAGGGGAGGAGAGTTAGGGGTGATCATGCCTGCAGGGAGGATAGTTGGGGGCAATCAGGTTGGCAGGGGAGCAGTTATGCATCACTCAGGCTGGCAGGGGAGTGGTTAGGGGGTAATCAGGCTGGCAGGCAGAAGCAGTTAAGGGCAATCAGGAAGGCAGGTAAGCAGGCAGGTAGGCGAACAGTTGGAAGCCAGCAGTCTTGGATTGTGAGAGGGATGTCCGACTGCCCTCTTAGGCCCGATTCCACTCGGGCAGTTGGACATCCCTTGAGGAATCCCAGATTTAAGAGGGTGCAGGCTGGGCTGAGGGACACCCGCCCCCCCATGCACAAATTTCGTGTACTAGTCCTCTAGCATAACAATAAAAATGTACTAGTATAAATGAGGAAACGAGGCAAAAGAAAAGTAAAAAAGTAGAAAAATATAATACTTGGGCATAAAAAATAATATAACTAGAGGCCCGCTGTACAGATTCATGCACATTGAAAGGAAATTAATTAGAAGAATTATTTTAGAGGCCAGGGAGGGATGTGGGAGATTGGCTCCAGGGCATGTCTGGCCCATCTCTCCCAATCAGCCAGACCCCAGCAGCAAGCTAACCTACCAGTAGGAGCGTCTGCCCTCTGGTGATCAGTGCACATCATAGTGATTGATTGAACAGTCGAACCAATGGTCAGACACTTAGCATATTAGGCTTTTATTATATTATTTTTATTACTATATAATAAAAGCCTAATATGCTAAGTGTCCCCTCAACCAAGAGTTCAACCAGGGGGTGGGGCTGGCTGGCCAACCTCCCACATCCCCTATCCCCCGGCCAACCTGGCGCCATTGGAGCGGGCTGGCCGGACCCCACTGGGCCTCTAGTATAGTATAGTATAGTATAATATAGTATAATATAATATAATATAATATAATATAATATAATATAATATAATATATAATATAATATGTAAGCACTAAAAGTTCATACATGAACTTCTATATAGGCACTGAGAAGTACAAAAATTTGGCTCAGCCCTAGCTGGTTTGGCTCAGTGGATAGAGTGTTGGCCTGTGGACTGAAGAGTCCTGGGTTTGATTCCAGACAAGGGCACATGGCTGGGTTGTGGGCTCAACCCCTGTGCAGGAGGCAGGAGATCAATGATTCTCTCTCATCATTGATGTTTCTATTTCTTTCTCCCTCTCCTTTCCTCTCTGAAATCAATAAAAATATATTTTTAGAAATTTTGGGCTCAAAGTTTTAATTAGATAAAGAGGACCTGACCCTTAGGAAGAAACATAGCATTTCATATATTGTTGTGATATCTAGGTAATGTTCTCAACAACAATCCTACAGAATATACCATGGTGATTGTAATGTGGCTATTTCTTAAAGCACCACTCAGTGTAGGCCCAAGGCAAAATGCCAAACTGTAGATTAGAAAAGGGCCAGGTCACGAGGGAGAGGGATGTGGGGACAATGTAGCCCAAAAGACCTCTCCAAAGACGGACAAAATTGAACATGAATAGAGAATGGGTTCGTTCTCATTAGGCAGTTCTTCCTGAACATGTTTTTGTTTATTTGTTTGTTTTATTTGCTTTCTATTTTTGTGCTTAAGGTTACATAGCATTTCATTGAATAGCCATGCATAATATCAACTAAAACTCTAAAGGAGATGTGTGGTTTTGTTGTTGTTGTTTTATAAATCCCTGAATATGATTTTACAACTAAACTTTTACTAGTAATTCAACACCAGATAATTCAAGGTTATACTTTTTGGAAGAATCTGAAGTGTAGACGTTGTAGGGTACAATTAAGGATGACCAATTTAAGATACCCTTTAGGAAAGGAAAGTACCTAACCAGTATGGATACCTAAACAGAGAGCCACCCAACTCTCACCTGGAGGTGGACTGGGAAACACAGGGCCAAGACGTTCTTCAGATTTGGGGGGAGGGAGAGGTTTCCATTTCAACACACACAATAGTCATGCAGCATGAATTCTCAGCAGGAAAGAGAATTTTAATTACAAAAGAAATAAACATATAAAATATTCAAGCCACACAGAATTCTTCCTACTCCCATCTTTTTTATTCTTCTTCTTCTTTTTTTTAAAATATATTTTATTGAGTTTTTACAGAGAGGAAGAGAGAGGGACAGAGAGTTAGAAGCATCGATGAGAGAGAGTCATCGATCAGCTGCCTCCTGCACACCCCCACTGGGGATGTGCCCGCAACCCAGGTACATGCTCTTGACCAGAACCGAACCTGGGATCCTTCAGTCCGCAGACCAACGCTCTATCCACTGAGCCAAACCGGTTTCGGCCATCATCTTTATTCTTGCCGCCCCTGGGTAACCACTAGAGATGGATGGTTTCTTGTGTCTCCTTCCAGACCTTGGTCTATGCACAACCTCAAGGAAATCCCCTGGAGGAAGTGAGTAGTAGAGCTATGGGGTGGAGGCAGGGAGCCTGATGCCCCTAACACCATTAGATAATGACTCTTTTTTTTTTTTTTTTCATGAAGACCAAATGAGATAAACAGACTATAATGATAGTCTTTATTATTTATTTTGTTTTCTTTTGTTAATCCTCACCTGAAAATATTTTTCCATTGATATTTAGAGAGAGTGGAGGGGGAGAGACAAGGAGAGAGAGAAGCATCAATGTGAGAGAAACACATGGATTGATTGCGTCCTGCACAGGGATTAAGTGTGCAACTGAGGCACGTGCCCTGGACTGGAATCAAACCCAGGAACCTTCTGCGGGTCAATGCTCTATCTCCTGAGCCAAACTGGCTAGTCCAGTCTATTATTCATTTTTTAAATATATATTTTTTACTGATTTCAGAGAGAGAGAGAGAGAGATAGAAACATCAACGATGAGAGAGAATCATTGTTTGGCTGCCTTCTGCATGCCCCACACTGGGGATCAAGCCCGCAACCTGGGCATATCCCCTGAATGGGAATCGAACCATAACCTGCTGGTTCATAGATTGATGCTCAACCACTGAGACACAACGACTGGGCAGGTCTATTATTCTTCCATCCTCTGTCCCTTCCTCCCTCCTTCCCTCCTTCCCTCCCTCCTTTTTCCTTCCTTCCTTCCTTCCTTCCTTCCTTCCTTCCTTCCTTCCTTCCTTCCTTCCTCCCTCCCTCCCTCCCTTCCCTCCCTCCCTCCCTCCCTCCCTCCCTCCCTCCCTCCCTTCTTTCTTTCTTTCTTTCTTTCTTTCTTTCTTTCTTTCTTTCTTTCTTTCTTTCTTTCTTCTTTCTAGGATAAACACCTTTATTTAAAAAACATGAAACACTTCACAAATTTGCATGTCATCATTGGGCAGGGACCATGCTAATCTTCTCTGGATCGTTCCAATTTTAGTATATGTGCTGCCCAAGTGAGCACAGGTCTATTATTTTTAAACAAGGTACACCAAGATCTGTGTGGTCATTCCAGGAAGGTAGAACTCTTAATTGCAATAAAGGAGAATTTATGGAGCATCCATGAATACCCTGCTTCAAGTGTCTTTGTATAAAAAGCAATGCTTGCCTTTTGTGTTTCTACAAAAGACCAGAGGGAAGAAACTTGTCTATCCCTCTGTGTCTCAAGTAAAAGGCCAAGGTTGGCTCTTATCATGGGGTCACAATTTGTGCTGAGGAAATTAATAGGAAGCATCAGAACATTTTCCCCACTTTGGAACTTTTGCTCACTTGATTTAGCAAATGTTCAACAGAGGGAGAGAACATCCCTCCTGCTGTTGATGCTCACTCTGGGGCCCAGTCCTTATTAGATCATTGAGCAAGATCCCCTCTGGCAGACAGGCAGGGGTAGTTGAGTTGATATCAGGACAATGGCTACAAAATAACACACACACACACACACACACACACACACACACACACACACACACCTTGGGCTGCAATTAAATAAAACAAACCTCTTTTACAAGTCTTTATCTGGGTATTCTATGATTTTTTGTCTCATTGTGAGGTTTTAAAAAGTGAAAACACAGTCCTAGTCAGAGTGCTAAGGAATCCCAAATTTTGACAGGTTCTATATATATGTGTGGTTTTTAAATAAATGAGATTGTATCTCATATACTGTTCTGTAATTTGTTCTTTTCATTTAATAGCATATCACCTACATGCTACCATCTAAATTCATCCTATCTATAGTAATAAAAGGGTAAAAGCTAATTAGACTGGGTCATCTGGCCATCTTCCGGACATCTGACTTCCTTCCAAACAAAGACATGGTGATGGGGCTGTGGCAGAGGCAGGTAGGGGCAAGATCAGGCTGGCAGAGGAGAACAGTTGGGGGTGAGATCAGACCAGCAGGGGAGGGCAGTTGGGGACAACCAGGCTGCCAGGGGAGAGCAGTTGAGGGTGACCAGGCCAGCAGGGGAGGGCAGCAGGGAGCAATCAGGCTGGCAGGGGAGCAGTCAATCAGACCTACAGGGGCGTGGTTAGGGGGCAATCAGGCTGACTGGCAGAAGTGGTTAGGGGCAATCAGGCAGGCCGGCAGATGAGCACTTGGGAGCTAGTGGTCCCAGATTTTGAGAGGAATGTTCGACTGTAAGATCAGACCTAAACTGGCAGTCAGACTCCCTTGAGGGGTCCCAGATTGGAGAGCTTGCAGGCGAGGCTGAGGGACACCCTGCCCCTGTGCACAAATTTCATGTGCTGGGCCTCTAGTGTATGAAATATAATAAAAGCCTAAGCGACTGTCACTGCGAAATGACCAGTACAACCGGCCATTATGATGCATACTGACCACCAGGGGGCAGATACTTAATGCAGGAGCTGCCCCCTGGTGGTCAGTGCGCTCCCACAGGGGGAGTACCACTGAGCCAGAAGCCGGGCTCATGGCTGGCAAGCACAGCAGTGGTGCTGGGAGCCTCTCCTGCCTCCATGGAGCTCTAAGGAAGGAGCAGTAAGTCAAGCAGTAAGGAGCAGAGAGCAGGTGGGTAGTTAGGAGCGAGGGGTCCCAGACTGCAAGAGGGTGCAGGCCGGGCTGAGGGCTGAGGAGATTACCCTCCCCCTAGTGTATGAATTTCATGCCCCAGGCCTCTAGTTATTTATGCTAGTTTTATAAATATATTCACACACACCATAGGGCCATAGTTATAAATGACCTCATTATCACATAGTTATAAAATGTGCCATCATGTGAATGTACCCTAACTTTTTACTAATATTTCATTTTGATTCCAAGTTTTACTTATCTAAACAATGCTTTAATAAGTATCATTATGCATAATTTGATGTAATAAATATCTTTATGCATAGTTTTTTGGAGTGCAGTTTCCAAAAGTAAAATTTCTTTGGTAAAAAAAAAAAATACATGCATTTTACATTGTGGTTGGTGTTGGAAAAATTTTTTCCACAAATATGGTACCAATTTACATTCTCATAAAGTATATTAAAATGTGTATTTCCTCACTAAGATTGGATATCCAATTTTTGAAACTTTGTCAATCTGCTAGGCCAGTGGTTGGCAAACTCATTAGTCAACAGAGCCAAATATCAACAGTACAATGATTGAAATTTCTTTTGAGAGCCAAACTTTCTAAACTTAAACTTCTTCTAATGCCACTTCTTCAAAATAGACTTGCCCAGGCCGTGGTATTTTGTGGAAGAGCCACACTCAAGGGGCCAAAGAGCTGTATGTGGCTCATGAGCCACAGTTTGCCAACTACGGTGCTAGGCCAACAAAACGGTATCCTTCTTTGTTTTAACAATTATTTCCATAATTAGAAATGAGATTGTGTCTATTTTTACATGTTTACTAGACACACATATATATTAAAATCCTAATCCAAGGATATGTTTTACTGATTTTTTTTTTTACCATCATTAATTTATTTGTTCAAGCACTCATGTTGCAAGCATTATACTAGGTATGG